GGCCTCTCACACTCCACAGCTGGCAGTTCCATGTCTGAACGATTTCCTCATTCAACAGCCTGATTTTGAAGGCACAGAGAAGGTGGGGAAAGGCAGATGACAGGCACTGCTGCCGGGCATTGAAGATGCCCCAGCTACCATGCTCAGTACTTGCTGCTTTTATTTATGATCCTCATGGCCGACACTCTTGACAGATGAGGAAACTGAGGCACTGAGAGGTTAAGCAACTTTCCCAAGCCCATGCAGCCCAAAGAGGTGACATCTGGCTTTGAAACCAGTTCTACCTGACCCTAAAGCTCACCTCCTTCTCAGCACTCTGCTGCCCTTCTGTGAGCTCTCCAACAGCTCTCAAGCCCTTCCAAGCCCACCCTTGGCTGGCGCCCTGTAACACCCCCAAAGCAAAGCTGGCTGTGTGTGGGCGACCGATGCAGGATTCGAGGCAGTGTCCATGGAGTGGGCTTTGCCTCTTGGGATAAAAACTTCAGGTAAGGGTTGGTAGGGCGTCCTCCGTGGGGAGGGAGAATGGAGCTCCAGGCATAGACATTGCTTAGACAGGGGCTTTTTATCCTGGCTTCCAACAATTACAAGATGGCAGACACCTCAGGATGTGAGCTCACCAAGCGTGGCTCCCCAGAGACATGAGGCAGGAGAGCTGATGGGCCCATGGAGGGCAGCTTCCAGAGCTCCCCTCAGCATTTCATTTCAACCAGCTCACATTGATCGAGAACCATGTGTCCAGCGTCATGCTGGGGCAGGGACACAGAGAGCAGGTGCCACTGTCTCTATCCAAAGTGAATCCCCTTGCCTCTGCCGAGAGCAGGTGGACCTTCCCACAGCCCTCATCCTGTGCTCTGTCTTTCCTGGGGACACCTCCACCCACCCAGAGACTCAAGACAAAAGCCCAAGGGCATCCTCCTTCTGCCGTTTTGCAAGGCGCTTGTTCCTCCCCATCCCCAAGGCTGCAGGCCCAGCTTGGGGATCTGGGGCTGCTCCCCAGATGGCCTCTTGCCTCCAGTCCTTCCTCATCCCCCTTATTACTCCTCCATGAGGTCAGGGGGATAATCCTAAAATACAAGTGGCACTCAAAGCACTGGCAGCTCCACACTGCCGCCACCTCAACATGGCTTCCCAGTTCCTATAGCCCAGAGGGGCCCCCTCCCCATTCCCACCCCCACAGCACTGCCCACCCCGTGCCCTTTTCTACCTCTGTGCCAAGGTTTCTCAACCTCAGCCCTATTGACATTTTGTCCCCAGGTAACTCTGGGTAGGAAGCTGCCATGTGCACTGTAGAATGCTCAACAGCAACCATGGCCTCTATGCATCAGATGCTAGGAGCACTTCCCTCCCCCACAACTCTGCCAATTACAAGTACCTCTAGATAGCCCCAAATGCCCACTGCACTGCACCTATGAAGGCCGCTCCTCCTTCCCCTTCTTTCGTGTCCAGCTTCCTCCTCCACATCCTTTAAGATCTGATTCAGCAGCATCACCTCCTGGAAGGCTCCCCTGGCTCACCTGGGCTGGGCTGGGGCAGCTTCTCCAGATCCTCCACTTCCCTGAGCACAGCTCCACCACTGCTCCCATCATGGGGCATTTGGTTAGTCTGCTTCTGTGTTGCCCCCACCCTGAAGGTGGGCTCCTCGAATCCCCATCATGGGGCACCGAATCACAACAATGGAACAATGTGTTCAGAGACCACCCAGGTGAGGGCAATGGGCTCTGATGAGAGGTGGAAGAGGCTCTGTGCAGCTGGGGATGTTGGGGCTAAGCAGGGATACAGAAGCGAGAAAGACAGAGTAGGGGACAGTGCCTTCCAGATAAAGGGCCTTCTGGGGCACAGCCTGAACGAAGGCCACAAAGTATGGACATCCAGGTGAGCCTGGGAAATGGTACGGCCAGAGCCCAGTGTGGGGCTGTGGGAGAGGTCCCAGGATAGGATGCTGGAGCAGAAGGAGGTGTGGGCATGAGGCTCTTGGATGTGTTCTGTAGCCCCAGGTGTGCCGGAAACTGAAAAAAATGTTATGGTCAATAACTTTGGGAAATGCTTTGTTAACAGTTAAAGAGGTTTCTTTCTTGCAGGACTTCTCAGAGCCTTGAATATGCTCACATGCTGAGTGAATCCACCAGGGGAGATATGGCATTACAGTGCTGCCCACATGTAACTGACCACAGAGCGCTTTCTTTCACAGAGCCTCTCCACTGGCCACTCTCCCATGGTCTACCCTTTGGAAAGCACTGCGCGGAGCTGAGACACACGAGCTACATACTGAGGAGGGGGCCCAAGGCAAGGACCATCTGGGCTTGGGGACAGTGGCTTTGGGGTTGGTCAAAGTCCTTTGAGCCAGTGCTGGGGCCTCAGTCACTCACTCAGCTCCTCAGCCACCACCTTGCTTCGCTGCATCTGGGGCCCAGGGGCATGTGAGAAGTCAATCAGGCTCCGGAGCAAGCTGTCATGGGACGGACGGTTATGGGAAGGAATGGCAAAGTTTATTGTAGGAAAACAGTTAACCCAAGGCACGGATCGACTACCTCCCCCGGAGGCCTCCCTGGCCGTAACAAATGGTGTGGCTTAAAGTTTTTAAATTGAGGAGAACTTAAGGGAAAAAACGTGGGCAGGCTCTGAGGCACTTGTAAAACCATCTGAGCTGCTGGGGGAGTCTGGGCCCCATCCCTCCAGGAGATGGACGCAAGGCTGAGCAGAGGTAGGGAGGTTTGGAGAGTTCAGGTCAGAGGCTGCCAGCAGGGGCTTCTGAACAAGGCTGGCCACAGGGTGAGCCGGTGGCAGCCTTCATTGGCTGCCCCAGTGCCTGCCTATACCCTGTTCTTGGCTAAGCCACAAGAGCCTATCCAGCCAGCAAGGTCGGGCAAAGGGAGCACTCCGCCCTCACTGCAGATCAGAGCCAGGCCGCAGACAAGTGGGAGGACGGTGAAGGAGGGTGAGGAGCCTATACCCAGGGAAAACCACCAGGGGTCTAGAATTACCCAGACTTGGGTTCAAATTCTAGCTCTGTCACTCACTAGTTGTGTGACTTGGGATGCGACAGCTCCCCGAGCCTCTTCTTCCTTATTGGTAAGATAGAACCAACAGAATCTGCATTCCACAGTGACAGCAAGGACTATAGACAGTGGTGCCTGACACAAGGGCTCCTCAATACATGCTAGTTGCCATTGTTTGGGGGGAACACATGTGAGTGGGCAACCCCACAGGGACACAGATGAAGCGGTGGACTGGGCCAAGCTGAGCCGCCGTGGGAAGATGCCTCCGCCGAGGGCAGCTGCAGACCCCATCAGCTGAGTGGCCCCTCACGCTGTGCAGTTCTGCGGGCCTCAGTGGCCTGTCTATAAACAGGGCAACCTCTCGTGGATACAGGAACCATCAGAGACATTTCAGAGGCATGTGGCCCACCACAGGAGCCCAGCCAGGGAGCTGTCATCATCATGCCCTCTACGGTGCTTGCACCCCTCTAAGCTCAGGGCACGTGTTTATGCCCAGAGTGTCCACACTGTCTTGAGTGGTGGCAGGAGATGAAAAATGTATCTTGCCAGAGCCTCATCAATATGACATCGGCTGTGACTGGGTGAACAGGGACCCTGCTGAGAACATCTCCTCGACTGTGTCCACCTGAGAACCTCACAGACATCAACAGGCCCATATCTGGAGCATGGCAAGGCTGTGCTGCCCAAGGTGAGGGCAGCTGTGCCTGCCCAGGGCCATGCCTTGTCCAGAGCAAACTAGCCCCATTCTATGCCTAGAAGTGTTTTATAAACATAAATTCTGTCATTTCTGAAAAGTGCAAAAGGGCTGGGGGTGTTTGCTGCTCACAGAAAGAGAAATGCACGGATTATGATGGACGCAGAAGCAGAGAAACAGCAAGGGGAGGCAGCAAGGTGATGGTGACTCCGTGTGCGTATTAGGGATGCTGTCTAGCAGGCTGTTCAGAGTGGGGCATGACAAAGGGCAACGCTTCTGGGCGTGAGGCTGGGCTCACCCTGCAAGGGCAACGGCCACCACCAACTGCTGATGCTGGAGAAGAACAAGGGCTACATTTGGTACAAGAGGTGCAGGGGGTGGGAGGACTGATGGCCAGGACCTTCCACAGGCTGTGATGACCTCAGTCCACTGGTAGCCTGGGATGGGAGGTATACCCTTCCGGGGAGCTGGTTGGCCCACAGGGTCCTGAGCAGGATGAAGCCACCAATGGCCCCGGGGGATGGGACACATGCAAAGCTATTCCCACACAGGTCTCATCTCAGGCTCCCAACACCTCCAGGAGGTGAGTCTGGCAGGAAGGCCACTTTTAAGAAAGGGAAACAGAGGCCCAGGGAGGGAATGTGACTTGACCAAGTGGGCAGAACTACTGACACTAGAACACTAAATGGGTTGAGAACACGCTTCTGTGAAGGTGAGTCAAGAGGAAGCAGATCTTGGAGAATCAAGGCTACTGGACCCTGAGGACGGTGGCACCCCAATGCTTAAACCATTCAGTAGATGCCCCCGAGGTGGGGTCAGGGTGGCCCCTGACCCTACAGAATACTCCAGAATATGCTTCAGAATTCTCTCCATTCTTTGATGTAGTTGGGCACCCCCTTTCCCTCCCAATCAACCGCCAACACTTCCCCTCCACGCCAACCTCTCAGAACCGCCCTGCGGAGCCCTTCCTTCTGGGCACTTCTCCTGACCTTGGCCAGGCCTCTATCTGCCCTATCACAAATGGTTGGGTGTAGGCACAGGGCAGCATGGTGACTCTTGAAGGGGCTGGGCCCCAAGAAGCAGGCATCCCGCCCCTACTCCAGGCCTGGCCTAGACCATCCCTATCTTGGCCCTGCCAGTCTTGGGCACTCTCTGGGGGAGGATGAGAACTGTGGATCACAGGAGATCAACAACAGCCACCAGCACAGCACTTAACAGCTCCCCCACGTGGCCTGGCACAGACTTAGGGGCTCCTATTTTTGGATAATGCCTCCTGTGCTACCTGCTGTGGGGTTTGGAAAGTTCCTTACCTTTGGGGTGAGGTACTTGGTCATAATTTCCTTCCCTTTCTCTCCCAGTTTTTCATCTGGAGTAACTTCATATTCTGCCTAAAACAGAAGGAGAAAAAGAAAAATAACAGCTTTGCTCATGAGCTTCTTATGGTTACAGAACCTCACAGCCCCTGGAGGAAACCCCCTAGAGGCCACCTGACCAATTCCCTTCTCCTGCAGGGCAGGAAGCCAGGGGAAAAGACCTGGCCATGGAGCCCCAGTGTTCAGTCCAAACTACTCTGCCCTCTCCCACAGATGCTGGGTCTCAGGACGGCGGTGCTCCACACAGACCACATCAGAATCAGCAGGGAGCCCTGAGCAAACACTGATGCTAGGTCCCACACTAGACCAATGAAACCAGGCTTTCCATTGGGCCATGAGGGCTGGCACCTGGGCAGCTGGGGTTGAAGACCACTGACTTAGCTGAATCAAAAGAAACTACTGGAAAAATAACAGCCCACCAGACTGGAAGGCCACCAAGAAGCTGCCTTAGGTTACTCAGACCTTGTAAGCTGTGTGATCTTAGACAATTTGCTTAACCTTTCTATAAAATGCAGATGGTACCAGCACCTAGGTATGCAGTGATTATACAGACAGAAGTGATCAAGCTCTTGGCCGGGGGCCTGGCCCATCATAAATAATAATAAAGAGTTGCTGTAGTTACCACCATTGTGATTATTATACTTTGCAAGGATAAACAATAATGTGGATGCCTGGTCTTTTCCAGCTTTTGAGTTTACAAAGTGAACACACACAGGTTTTTAAAGATGTTCTTGTCTGAACGTTGAAACAGCCAGGGCAGTGACGCAGGAGAACAGGGGCTGCCATCCCACCCCGTTGTCTGTAGGTGGAGATCCCAAAGGCCCACGGCGGGAAGGCACTTGCGTAGGGTCGTGCAGCAGGAGGTGGCAGGGCTGGGACTTGAACCTCCAAGCGCAGGGCTTCTCCTCAACCACACCACAGAATTTAGGACTCTGATAACTAGCCAAGCCAGGGGGCCCAAGCTCTAAAGATGGGAGGTCTCCAACAAACAGACTTTTTAATCTTCCTGAATCCCAGAGGGGGCTCCTTTGCTCACATCTGACGCACTTGCCACGTGGATAAAGGGCCTTGAGTCAATAAAAAGCCTGAGTAAGTGTCCCTTTCTCATTTAGACAAAGGAGCTAATTACAAATTGTTTATAACCATTTCAAAATCCACCACCCAAGAATTTGTCAGCCTCTGTCCAAAAGTACAGCTATTTCAAAAGAGACAGGAAATGACACTAGCAGAGAAGGACCCGAACTCCTCCCCGGGCGTCCCACCGCGCAGTCAGATGTCTGTCCGGCCCTCAGGGAAACCTCACACCTCAGTGTCTAGGGTCTGAATCCTCTCAGACCAGTCAAAGGGAGCACGCAGGCGGCACTCACAGTGACCACAGAGGCAGCCAGGCTCATTTCCATCCACAGTGAGCAAGTGTCCTTGTCTTGCCCTCTCTCTTCTAATGGAGAGCCAAGATCCAGCGATTTTCTCCCATGGAGAAACACGAACACGACAATCATTTAGATCACAGGGAGATAGGGCGGTGTTTCTTTAAGGAATCCCACCCCTCATTTTATAGGGCTGGACACAGAGGCTCAGAGAAGTCCAAGGTCACAGCTGCCGGGCTGGTGCGCTGGCCTCTGGATTCCCACTGGGTCGCGTGGTCAGAGCCTTTCTCCCCAGAGGTCAATTCCTCTTCCACATCAAGATGAGCCTTGAGGGACTGGGGATTTCTTGATGATTTGACTTGATGGATGAATTCCTGAGATGCTTTAAGGTGGCTCTTTCTTCTTGACTTTTTCCTGTTATTTTCTCCCTCTGTGCTCCCTGACGATCTCGTAAACCTGAGTGTGCATGTATGCACACACACACGTGCCCACACACAGACACACAGATACACCCACACACATACGTACCCACACGCAGACACACAGATACACCCACACACACATATACCCACACACAGACACATGGATACTCACACACACCCACACACACGTGCCCACACACACACAGATACATATACTCACACAGACACCCACACACACACATGCCCACACAGACACGCGGATACTCACAGACACCCACACCCACACACACACAGGTGCCTACACGCAGACACACAGATACACCCACACACATATGTACCCACACGCAGACACACAGATACACCCACAGACACCCACACACCCACACACACGTACCCACACACACTCACACACTCCCATACAGACACCCACATCCACATCCACACAGAGACACATACCCACACCCCCCACACACCCACAGACACAGACACACAGATACCCGCACACACCCCCACACAAGACACCCACACACCAACACACGTACCCACACACGGATACACACACCCACACACACTCACACACCCACACACCCACACACACGTGCCCACACACGGATACACACACCCACACACACTCACACACCCACACCCCCACACACACGTGCCCACACACAGATACGCCCACACAGACACCCACACACCCACACCTACCCACACACAGATACCCCATACACAGACACCCCCACCCACACACACTCAAACCCGCACACAGACACCCCCACACACAGACCCACACACTCACAGACACACACACCCACAGATACCCACCCACACACAGACCCACACACTCACACACACACCCACAGATACCCACCCACACAAACACCCGCAACCCCTACACACACACATACAGACACACAGACACCCACACACAGACACAATCCCCGCATGGAGTGCTGATGCCAGGCTCACCCTACATGGCAGGGGATTATTATATCTACATGGTAGGTATTATTAGTTCCAATCTGCAGATGAAGAAACTAAGGGGTCTGAGAGGTTCCAATACAGCACAGCTAGCAAGCAACAGGGCCGCCATGGCGTCTCCAAAGGGGCTGAGCACTCTAGAGCCAGCTGCCTGCTGTTTGCCAGAATGAGAAGCACCCAGGGTCCTGCCGCCCTTGGACAGCCCGCCGTTGGTCTGGCACCATGGGAATGTAGCCAGACTGCTCTGCAGGACCCAGGCCCTGGGCAAATGGCCGGCCATCATTTGGGGTAACTCTATACCATCCAGAACACTAGATTTGCACTGTACCAAAATACAGCTGTGAAGGTGGCTCGATTTAACCAAATGGAGGCCTGGGGCTCACTAATCAGCCTCAATAACCAGCTAAAAATACTCTTGCTGTGGGTACTAAAACCTGCGTTAAAAAACAACATCCCTTTCAGGTCAGCTGCCTCCCGACAGAGGCCCCGCCGGTGGACGGGCATGCAGGTGGCAGCGGGAGCACACGGGGACAGGCCTCCCCCGCTGGGATCAAAAGGCCTTTCTCCGAAGAGTCTGTGCCAGGCCACCACTTGAAGAGCATTTGTGTTGGGAGGCGGAAAACGGATGGAAGGCCTCCAGCTGGGCTTTTCACACTGATTAAGACACCTAGTGACAGGCCATGTCTCCACAGTGACTCCCTGAGGGGAGTCCTGAGAGGCCACCTACAGAGGAAAGGTACCATGGTGGCTCCCCTGGGTGGGCCGAGCTCAAGGCAGATCACACTCCACAGGACTGGGGCCACCCCAGAAACCACAGCTCGAGGACACTCTTGCCCAGGTGGTGGGAGAAAGCTCCAACCAGCTGTACCCAGCAAACAGAAGCAGCAAGTAAGAGTCTGTGCCAACAACCCAGAATTTTACAATGAGATGTAGCTCAGGAAATAGCAGCCAGACAATGATTTCGATGAAAAGAAAGGTAAACCGTATGCAAAGAATGCCCTCGTGACCTCCATCTGCAAGACAGTCCCTTCCAACCAGAGAGGGAGATGGGCCTTGTGCCCTCCCCGAAACACAGGCCCCTCTGCTGTTCTGATCATTTAAAGCTCTCTTGGTCAGGTGCGGTGGCTCACGCCTGTAATCCCAGCACTTTGGGCGGCTGAGGCAGGCGGATCACCTGAGGTCAGGAGTTCGAGACCAGCCTGCCCAACATAGGAACCCTGTCTCTGCTAAAAATATAAAAAATTAGCCAACCATGGTGGCGGATGCCTGTAATCCCAGCTACTTGGGAGGCTGAAGCAGGAGAATCGCTTGAACTCGGGAGGCAGAGGTTGCAGTGAGCTGAGATTGCACCATTGCACTCCAGCCTGGGCAACAAGAGTGAAACTCCATCTCAAAAAAAAAAAATAAAAAAGGCCCTCTCCCTGTCTAGAGCTCCATTCTAACAGCCAGGGTGCCAGGGAGCACCCACAACCATCCATAATCCAGATACGTGCCAGGTGCCAACGGGGAAGACACCACCGAATGAGCCTTCTCTCTGCATTGTGATTTATGCCAAACACAGAGGTGGCCTCTGTGGGGAGATGCCGCTCTAACACAAAATGCAGACTATTACATTGAGCTTAAGGAGCAAAGAACTTTTTCTACATCTGTGCCTCCCAAAGAGTGGAAACATCTATGTGCATCTTAGTTTACAGCCCTAATACTTCATTCTTTTGGCCTGCCCTAATTGCATCATCAATCTCAGAATCTGCCAGAGAAAATATGTCCTGGCTATGAAGACACATTTCCTTCAGATGCTTTTTAGAACCTGCCACGTTTTCAAAGAAGTCGGCCCCGGTTTAGAAAGGGCAGTCTGGGCTGAATTCCTCTCGGCCTTGGACTAACTTTAGATGTCACCTCCTTCTCCCAGGAGACCTTCTCCTGCCCTGACAGGAAGATGAAGTCAGAGATGCCGTGAGGTCTCGCCACCTCCAGCTTCTGTAATTATCGATGTGGTCAGCTTTTCCAGAGTCCTTGAGGCAGGGACAAGTGACAGGCCTGGTCAGCACAATGTTCACCATGCACCCCGCCGGAGAAACACCGGGATCCACCCCACGGCCCCAGCTTCTCATCTGTGCTGACCACGTGGGCCGCCCCTCCAGAGCTCCTCTAGCCCTCTCCCACCCTGCTGTGGGGGTGGAGCGGTGGGGTGGTTTTCTGCTGGCTCTGTCCCCGCCTGGGCACCGCAGGTTCCTGGACCCTGTTA